GCTGCTGCCCAGACAAGAGTTGTCTGAAAACCACTGCCAGAGCCCCATGACCCAGCTGGGAATGAATGGGAATCTGTCCTCAGTGTTTCAGCTAAAACACTGAGAAATTGTGTGTTGCAGCATGTCTGAGACTGATCGTTATGGGGGCACTTAGTCTGAGCTTCGTAGCAAGCCATTGTTGTGAGGAAGGATTACAAGTTGCATAGCAATGCTCTGCTGTGATCCCTTTTCCCTATGGCTCTTGTAAAGCCATTTAGGCAGACAGTCCTGTGGTGCTATCTTATTTCATCTTAGCAGCAAGTACCAATAAAGACTGTTCAGTCTTGCTCTATCATAATTGTTTTCCTCATTGTGCCTTTGTCAGTATTTGGTATTCTCATGACAAGATCAATGGGAGTTTGTGTTCCTAAGCTGAATAAACTAATTTGCTCAAAGAGCTTTATTTTCCTCCCAAACTGCTCTCCTATTTGTGAAATTGCCAGACCAGGTGGTTATTAAGAGGAGAGTGGGAGGACATAATTTCAGTGTGATGCTATCCCTGACCCACTAGTTGTCTTCATTGCACTTGCTTAGAAGCCCTCTACAGCATATACTATAATAAGGATTCAAATGTGTTGTTACTCCTGAGTTACTATAACTCTGCTGGTGTGTGGTAGCTATGGTATATTCAAGCCATGGAGAGCATGAAATATTTTGTGCTTTGGATTTAAGCTAATACCTTTTGCTTCACATCTGTGATGAGACAGAATCATAGAATCAGCTAGGTTGGAAAAGATCTTAAAGGATCATCAACTCCAACCACTACCCTAGGACTGCAACAAGCACCACTAGACCATGTCACTGAGGGCCTCATCTACATGATTTTTGAATACTTCCGGTGATTCCTCCACTTCCCTGGGCAGCCTGTTCCAATACCTGATCACCCTCTCTGTGGAGAGATTTTTCCTAATGCCCAATCTAAACCTCCCCTGGTGCAGCTTAAGGCCATTACCCCTTCTCCTATCACTTCTTACTTGGGGAGAAGAGATTGACCCCCACCTCACTACAACCTCCTTTCAGGTAGTTGTAGAGAGCGATAAGGTCTCCCCTGAGCCTTCTCTTCTGCAGATTAAACAACCCTAGTTCCCTCAGCCATTCCTCATCAGATTTATTTTCCAGACCCTTCCCCAGCTTTGTTGCCCTTTTCTGGACCTGCTCCAGCACCTCATTGTCTGTCTTTCTGCAGGGGGCCCAGAACTGAACACAGTATTCAAGGTGCAGCTTCACCAACATTCATGTGGCCACTTGGTGTAGATGCAATACAGTTATTTAATAAGTGGTGATGACATAGGTCTATGTAGGGTGGAGGCAGATCAGGCTCTGAACTGCGATGTGCTTTGAAAACAGGAGCTACCTCTGGCTCTTGAAATAATTTGGGATTTTTTTTTTGTTTGGTTTATGCTTTTGTTTTGTTTTTTTGTTGAAAGAAGTCTTATTCTGCCTCATGTACTCTAAAATTACTTGGTACTAAAAGCTGAGTTATTCTACCCTGGGAGTCCTTCCGCATTTGAAGGCATGACCTAGGCACTTACCCATTTGTCCCAGGGCCCAGCCAGAAAAGGTTTCTCCAACACTGCTCCAAGTAACCTGCTGACTTGAATAAGTCTTGCTCTGCTTCCTGGAGGAATGAGGTGGATTTAAGTGTCTCTGACAGGAGCATGCAACAAGAGGAGAAATGTCTTTGTGGAAGCTGGAGAATGAGACTGGAAACAGAAGGGCTTTGCCAAGATTCATTTTGGCTGGTGGGTGGTTAGGAGCCTGTAGGCAGCATTTCTCCATCATGCATCACCCTGAGTAGCTGCATTGTGACTGACAGCAGCAGAGGAGGCTGGCTGGGGAAGAAATTTTTCTAGTATTTTCACTATAGCTGCCTTGTAACATTCTTGAGCCCTTCCCTGTGCTTCAAGGAAAGGGTTTATGGGGCAGTTGGGATGCACCAAACTTGCAGAGTGGCCATATGAAAATCCATATGCTGGATTTCATGAACTGATGCATTCATGAGAACAGGGACAATGGAAACCTTCTATGCTTTGGTCTACCAGTGCATGACATCTAAGCTGTCCTAGCCACTGCTTAGCAAGGAGCTAGAAGTAAGTCAGGAAAAAAATGAGCTGGGATTCATTAGGGGCTTTGTTCATCACTGTTTAAGCACAGACAAGGAGAATAGGATTCATCTACCTAAGTATATGCATTTGTACCTTTTGAGAGACCTTTATGCTCCTGGAGGAGCAGTTGATGAAGAGCAGTGTTTTACAGTAGCCCAAATAATGCTAGATGCTGATATTTAGATGCCTGAATTAGTCCCAGAAGGTGGGATTCTCCTCACAGGTTAAGATACCTAAAGTGAGGTACCTGTGTGTGAGCTGGGTCCCTAGACTTGTGTTAGCAAGTAGAGATGTGGCCAGCACAGTCAGTGGAGCCTGGAGAGCTGCTCTGTGGAGCATGTGCAGGTGTTTGCTTCACTACAGGATCCTCTGGCTGCTTTGGTTCTCTGAGTCAGGCTGGAGTTTAGAGGTGTTTCTCGAATATATGCATTTAAACTCAAATACATGCCTTGGTTAAGCCAACCCTGGCTGGATGGTGTAATTCAAGTGCCTAAACCTACACACCTGTTCCCGACTGAAGGTTTGTTGCCATCTGCTAGTTACCAATCCATCAGCATTTGTATTTCCAATTTGTATTGTGCCATATCTACCAGCCCCATGTGGATGCCTTAGATATACTGTATATATATATGCAGTACTTGCAATGTCAGCTTTCTCACTGGGCTCTGGAGAGGTGGCTCCTGGCAAGAATAGCCTGTCTCCAGGTTCTGTTCCTGCATTCCATGGCTATGCCTTTTTTAACCAGCTCTAAATGCACTCAAGCCTCTGCACAGGAGTGTGTCTACCAGCTGAGCCAATTCCTTTTGGTGTTTTCCTTTCCTATCTGTTCAACAGTGGTGGAGCAGGTGCAAATGGGTTGGCGGAGGTGGGAGGGTTGAGAAAAGGCTAAGCTGATGAATGACTGCGGTGTGCAGCACTTCTGCAAGTATCTCAGCATTTTTGCCCCATTTGCTGATGGTCTGGGTGTGAAATCAGGTATAGGAGCTTTGTTTCACATGAACTGAGCTCTCACTTCTGGACAACCAGTGAAATGTGACTTTACATAAGGGATAGTATGGGTTTTTTTCTTGCTGTTGAAACGTGTTCTGTATGCTTTTGTCTAACATTGTGGGATTTCTTGCAGGGTTGGCTAGACACTTTGGCACGCAAAGCGTGACAGCCTCTGACCAAGCCGGCCCAGCTGAGTACTATAAGCAGTAACGCATCTCTCTCTGTAACCCATCACTTGTTTGAATGCTACTGTGTATTACTGGATTGCATTTGAAAAGGTCTTGGCTGTCACAAGAATGAAGTGTGACCATTGGCTAGGCTTTGCTGAAGGCCGTATTATGCATATTGTCTTTCTAAAAACATCTCTGTAATATCAGGATTGGGCCAGACCCCAATTCTGAGTCCATGACCTATTGCACATTTGCACATGGTGCTCAGCAGTAATCATGCAGCCAAATAATTAGGAACTGGATGGTCAGGAAATGGACTGGAGCCAGTCCTCTGCTGTCATGAGGCCGTAATGTAGGCAGATGCCATAATGGGCAGAGAGGGAGACTTATTTATTTCTTTTTTAGATACCATATATCCCTAAAAGAAGGGCATTTTCAGTAGTACCTTGTCAGAAGGCAGGTCTGTAAAACAAACTCTGGTCTAACATGCTATTTTAAGGGGTGGTTATACCTTACGTATTTAAAGTCCAAATGTAACCTATTTTGGGGGAAGGGACAGGGAGGGAGAACTAGAACTATAAATATCTATTTATAATCAGTGGACAAAATGCAGGTTATCTGTGACTGTCCAAATAACATGTCTTCTCTCATGTTGCCCATAGAGGAGTTCGAGGTGTAAATCTATCTCTGAAGAAGATGGGGGATCAGTTTTTTATTTCTTCACGTTAACTTTTTGGAGAAAGGGAGAACACAGATGTGAATGAGGGAGCCTTAGACTTCATCCTACATAAAAATGTGGTTTATTAAACGTGTGTGGCCAGCAAGCAATGACACTTTTTGTTTTAAAAAGCACAGGCTTCTTCACTGCTAGCACAAAAAAAAAAATTGACATGTCCTTTTGAACATGCTACCACACTCTGGAATAGGATCCTGAACACAGGATGGAGAGGCAGAAGCTACCTGGATGTTTTAGAGCTGCTGGTGTTGGTGAAGGTGAATTCAAGTTGTGTTCATGAGGACTATATATATATTTCAGCTACATGAAGGTTTTTTCCTTAGTCATGAAATGGGTGGGATGCTATACCTAGTCGCTACTGGTGGAAACAACACAGCTTAACCATGTTTCCATTGAGCCTGTACTGCTATATGGGAGCTGTGTGAGATTAAGGTCTATCCTGTGTGATGTGGTATGGAGAAAGTTCTTGCTCTCCACGCTCACGTTCTGGAGCAGGTACCACCCCACCTGGGTGTTTGTGTGTGTTACGGCTGCAATCTCCCTCTTTTCTCCACTAAACCGACTCCTTCCGTGGTTGTTACGTCTTATGTCCTTATTCTTACTAAAATAAATAGGTACTAAAACGTGTATTGATGTCTTAGTTGCATCACAGCTTCCTCTATATATGTAAATGAGTGCCAGCACTAGACAGCCTTTGCACACCTTACTAGTATAAGTAAATAGCCAATAAGGCATTATTATCACAGGTAAATGTCATAATCTATATTGTCATAACTGGGATCCTTTTGAAACAAATATTTATTGTAACATGTGTTTTCTGTTCTCTTTCAACACATAGTTTTTGTATTGTCATCAACTTTGTGTTCCAGGAGCGTCTTCTAGCACGTTTTGTTTTTTTCTCTGTATCTTAATGCTTTTCCCCTATAACTGATTTTGGCTTTGGGCCATGTGTGTCTGCAGGTCATCAAAGCTGGAGTGGAGACAACCTGTAAATGCCATGGTGTATCTGGATCCTGTACTGTCCGAACGTGCTGGAGGCAGCTCTCTCCATTCCATGAAATAGGGAAGCAGCTGAAGCAGAAGTATGAGACATCGCTCAAAGTGGGCAGCACTACCAATGAGGCCACAGGGGAAGGAGACATCTCCCCACCCAAGAAGTCCATCCCTGGTCACAGTGATCAGATCCCAAGGACTACGGATCTTGTCTACATTGACGATTCCCCAAGTTTCTGTATGATGAGTAGATACTCACCCGGGACTTCGGGAAGGAAATGTTACAAAGACAAGAACTGTGACAGCATCTGCTGTGGGCGAGGGCACAATACGCAGAGTCGGGTGGTCACCCGTCCATGCCAGTGCCAGGTCCGTTGGTGCTGCTATGTGGAATGCAAGCAATGCACCCAGAGAGAAGAGGTTTATACCTGCAAAGATTGACGTGTCTTCTGCTCAATGGCAACCCTTGGTGATGGGTGATGGCGATCTATGAGAACTGCAAATGGAGACAAACAGGGTTTGATTGACCTTCTGGGATCTGAAAGCTATGTTGAGACATAAGCACTTTGTAGGGTACAGGTGACCCAGCTGTGTTGCTGTTTTGTTTTTGTTTTGTTTTGTTTTCCCGTAGACTGAGTTTTAATGAGGTCCAACCATGTGGAAATAAGTGCCTGTCACACTGGGGTTAGACACCAGTTGACCTTCACTTTAGTCTACGCAGTTTGATGGATCATTTATCCTTGGAACATCTTGATCGTTCCACCAATCCTCCATGAATTCCTGGGCTAATATATTCTCTTCGGCATAAATAGCCTATACTACTTTATTCCTGAAGCTTACCCAACAACTTAGAAAGCTAAGCAGATAGGAAAGAAAGATCTGCTTCGAATGTGATGGTAAAGGAAGTGTTCATTTATGTCCCCTTCTAAAACTGGAAAGATGTGTGTAGGGTAAGCAAGAATAGGCCTGATGGCTCCTTTAGTGGAGTTTCTGCACACCGAGCAAACAAGGCTCTGACAAAAAGACCCACTGGGAGGGTTAGCTTTTTAATGACAGCTCCATATCCACATGCATTGATCACCAAATACAGTTTAAAAATTGTTGGGTCCACCATGTTGCAACCAGAAATATATCCAAGAAAGAGGTTGGAAAGACTGTAGAAAACCAGATGTGCCTGTCCCCTTCAAGCCAATCATGTGTTCTTTTTTATAACTGGTTTCTTCAAATGCAGTTTCTTTAGCACTATTTTTTTTTTTTTTTTTTTACAGAAACCACTAGATATTTTTTAAATTTTATTTTCACTTTGTGCATGATTTATTTTTCTGTTGTCTTTCCATCTCTTGTTGATCAAATTCACCCTGTGGTAACTGCTTCAGAAATCTGAACTGGAACTTTTAAGTCTTATGCCAGCTGAATTTAGACATGTATTTCTGAGTAGGCCAAGAGAAATTCAAGTGCATCTTGGAACGCAGTGCTGTCTTGTATTTTATAGCAGCCGTTTTGGACTGGATCAGACCTCTGGAGGAGTTGACTTTTCTGTTACTAGGTCATCATTCCATTTACTCTAAATCATGGCAGTGGTACATGACACAAGCTGTATGTAAACCCTATGACCTTAAGATTTTTTTATTTTTTTTTTTTTAACCACTAGATTGAGAACTGTATTTAAAAAATACAACTGCTAAATGGTAACCAACTCCTGGATTTGGAACAACCAATTGACACAGAGCCACAGATTGACTGTAGCGGTAGATTGCTCTGATGCTGTGAAATAGGTGACAACCTTCAGCATCTCTTTTGTTTGAAGAGGATATTTACAATCCAGGACTTGATGCAACAATATTCTTCAGTCATATATGGAAGCAGCCAGTGGATGCCTCAACGAAGCTTTCTAAGGAAACATTGGAGAGCGAAGAGCATTTTGTTTTATTTTTGGTAGCAATTTTTGACTGCCCAGTAGTAGCAATTTCCACCAATTCTATATAAGCCATCTGGTTCACAAAAGAGAAAAGCTGGCTGGAGTTTTTCAACCAGTAGTAGATGTTAGCCAAGCAAAAAGAGAGCAGTTTTCTAAGATGGACCATTATTTTTTAAGGTGGTTTTAATTTTCTTTTTTTTTATTATTTTTCTTTTTTTCTCCCAAAATAGTCACCACTAATATTTAAGCTGTTCATGTGCATCTACTGGGAGGAGAAAAGATATTTTTAACAAATACCTGCAGTCCAGCCTGGCTTGTTGGCTTGAAATCTTGAGGTGGGAGCATGGGGATGGACGGGATGGTATTGTTAATAGTGCTATGGTCCTGCAAAGTGAAGTTACTGTCTCTTTTTTTGCCATTTGATTATTTGCTGTACAATTCTGGGGTGGAGGTAGTGCTGGAGAAGGCAGAACCCGCATGCGGTGTTTGTTCCTTCCACCACAGCAAACGTACAGCGGTGCATTCAATGCAGGGAGTTTGCAAGAAGGTCTTGAAGCTTCTGGAAGATGCACCGCTTTGAGAGTCACCCACAAGCAGTTTATCTAATGGTTTAAAAAAATAAACTAACTAGAAACCTATTATTCAGTGTGTGTGTGTATACACACATGCTGACACATAAATATATATATATAAATATTGAATGGACATTTATTTATTGTAAAGCCCTTCAGAAGGACCTTCTTATGGTTTCAATGTGGTATTATGTTAAATTCTTTCTCCCCCTGTCTCCCTCACACATATGTGCAAACTCACTGTTACATTTTTTGTGTGTGTGCTGGAATAGCTCTTCCCCTCCAAAGTAAGGTCAGATCCAAACCTGCTCAAACCATGAGGGTTGTTGGGTCTGAATTGCTATTTCTGGCTCCACTCTTTAGGAAAAAAAGAAAGGTTCTTAATTAAAGAATGGGCCGCAATTTATGTGCATTATTATTACTAATTATTGTTATATTTAAACCATGGGCCTCATTTTCCTTCTTTTCACTGGTGTCTCTGTCTCCATTGACCTCGCTGGAGTAACTCCGCATTGCACTGGTGTGAGAGGAGAATGAGTCCCTAGATGTAGAAGAGAAGGCAGTGCTGGCATAGACATTGTTGTGGAGAAAATGCCTGGGTCAGATGGGATAAGGTAGCTTGGTGTGTTTGGCAGCGGGGGGAGAGAGAGAGATGGATGGGCAATAAGGCAGACTGTCAAAGCTTGACTAGAGGAAGGCAGCAAAGAGTGAATGAACTACTGAGTGAAAGAGCTCTTCTGTGTACTATAACTCACGCACTGAAGCCTGGATGCTTTCTGTAAGTATTTAAAAAAAAAAAAAAAAAAAAAAAACAACAAAAAAACTCACACAAAAACCAAATTGTATTTATGTTAATGTGGATATATTACTTGCCTGTTATATATTGTAAATAGCAAGGTTTATTCTCCTGTGGTTAAAAAAAATTATAAATAACTAAATACTAGCGAGGCACATGTGTTAAATGTATAGGCAGTGTATAAAATATACTAACACTCTGAAATCAGGAGAACTTGTCTTCTTGGCCTTTTGACCTAGGGTGGTAAAATATATGTGGGTTATTTTTCTTCTTCCCCCCACCATGTTTTATGTGTGTTGGGTGTGTGGGGGTGTTTAGTTCCAGCATTTCCAATGTTTGCCTTATCTTTAAAGAAAGAATGGAGGAAAAGCCTCATTTTGGAAAAATCCAGTGGAGCTTAAGTAGGATGAAACAAGTAGCAGGTGGTAGAAAAGATGTCAGATCCTCTCAAAACTTTCTCAGGTGCTTGATTTGGGTTTTCTGCTGGTAATAATGTGTTGGGATTGAATTAAACCATAGAGCAGGAGTTTCTGCTTGTGTTACTCCATATGCGAGTTCAGAAAGCCCTAGATAAGAGACCCTGAGTCCTCTATAAAACATTGGGCAGTGTCCTGTAAACAGCTTTTTATTCCAGCTGCATGAAATCGGATTTTTCCAGAGAGGCTGATTCTACCACTACACCATTGGATCTCCAGTGCAATTTAATGAAATTGCTCATTTTTGTAAAACTACTACAAGAATGGATTTGGGTCCCTGAATCTTTCATGGTATCATTTAATATTAAAAAAAAGGTGCAAAGCAACTTTTTTCCTTTTCTTTCCCCCATAGAAACAGGTTTTTGCAGCAGATGTAACTGGAGAGGGACAGATGGGTGACTGGGAGATTCTCTGGTTTCCGATCCCCAAAAGTGTCAAAGTGTTGGTTCTCCTAAGCTGATCCAGCAAAACTTGTGAGATCAGTCTTGGGGTGGGGGGGTGCAACCATTATTTATATAACTTTTTAATTAATTTTTTTAAAAGAGAAGTTAGCTGATGGAAGAATATTTTTATTGAATAGTGCATTTAGTTATGTCAGAAGTATAAAAAAATATATATAATATTTTTGTAAACAAGGCAAACTGAAAATGTTTGCTGTTTTATATTAGAATTTTCTATTAAAAGAAATAAAAACCCACACAAATAATTGTTGCACCCGTCATCTGTTTTTTAACAAGCTTCTATTCTGTGTGACTGATTCATATATGCCGGATGTGGAGACATGCAAAACAAGTCCTAAACATTACATTCTCATTGTTTTCCACCTCTCAAAAGACTCCAGTTGGTGAAGCAACTAGTGCTTAATCAAAGGGGCACTTCTTTCTTGTTCTTGACCCTAATAATGAGTTATGAAGAACGAGTAGCTTGTAAATAAATACAAAAACCTACCCTGAAACTTCAAGCTTACCCTTTTTTAGTTATGTATCCTGGTTTTGAGATGGCTTGAAAGCCAAAACCTGTGTATAATAACTAGATATTTGCCATGATGTCAGTTGGCCTGGGAAGAGTGACTCTTAAAAAGGTCGTTGGGTGGGGGGGAGGGGAATAAAAATCTAATACATGGGGAAGGTTAAATGAAGAGGGCCAAATCCCGGGCTTGACTTAACACAAGCAATTTTTATCTATTTGAATGGTGCAGTGTAAAACCTGTGAGTTGGGAACTTGGTCTGCTGTGTTTCAGGAAGCCTGTTGTTCACCTTTGGAAGCAGGGAATGAGTTAATGACTGCCTGTTTTCAAATGAGCTTTTGGAATTGGAGACCTGAGCAGGGACAAGATAATTTCTGAGGATTTTCTGTGGTTGGCCAGCACATACACATCTCCCTTTCTTCAGCCCAGGTCTTGAATTTCTTAGTTAATCATTTTTCAGCTGCCCTATTTTAGTGAACCTACATTAGGCTGGTTTGGCTGTGGTAGGGTTCGATGAGAACCCAGATGAAGGGACAGATTTCTGAAGGTTACTTTCATGGAGTAGATGCTGCTTAAGGTAATTTTCTGGTGGATTATAGTGCCTGTGAAAAAATCCTCAGATGATGTTGCAGTAAAATTAGTTCTACTCTGTGCTCAATAAAACAGGTGCAGCAAAGCTCTCCATTCCTGGTGTATCTGGCTCTGCATGCACATCTGTTGGGTAGAGTCTGGCTTCCATGGTCAGCTCATCCTGGCATTCAGTTTTCAGAATGTTAACTAGGTGGTGACTTCTGGAGAGCAACGTTTTCCTGCAAGAGAAATAGTGCCTTTTATGAACATTACTGCTTATGTAACTTGAAGGACACTCAGTATGGTATAGGGTCAGGCCCATAGAAATCTGGTCATTGCTGAAGCAGTCAAGCTGAGGGCCATGAATATTAGTGTTGAATAGCTTTTAGATCTATTTTTCACTGATGAGCACTGGATTTGACCAAGCTCTTTACATGCTCCAGGAAACAGTGTATCTGAACAACGAAAAAAAGGGAAATTTCTGGTGTTTGTGAGTGGAGAGGAAAAGCAAATGGCTATTGCAAGCACAGTTTAGCTCTGGCACCATGGTAGG